GGCTTTGAACTTAGGACTTTCGAGGTCTACATTTTGTTTGTATCTTCAACTATTTGCTGTTTAGCTGCTGCCCACTAGTCTCCCCTCCCCCCCCCCCCCTTTTTTATCCATATTTGTTTTTTTTTCCAGTAGTTATCTGGTCTCTAGTTTAAAAAAAATGGGTTGGTGTTTCACTGTTTTTTTCTAGGGGTAAGAGGAACATTTTATTTTATTTTGCTAGTACCTTTTTGATTTTTCTTGGGGTAGGAAAAATTACATGTCAATGAGAAATTACTTTACAGATGTCAGATGCAATCAGCCTGAGGGAAGCACCACAGGGAAGATATTGACACAATGGAGAAGGTTATCTGCTTTCCTTCTAAAGCTGGCTACACACCATCATTTTTGTTTTCATTCAACCCAGCAGCTGAAGTTAAAAAAGTAAAGAGCCTGGGAAGAGCTCGCTGTGCTAACTATTCAACACTAGTTCAGTGATCTCCCCATTGAGCTATTGTGTTCTGACAGGGGGACACACCTGGCAGCGCTAGCAGCCATTGGCTGATCGGATGCTGGTTTTCCAGCATGCCCGTTTTGCCGGCTTCTGTCAGACAGGCTGGTGTTCACGCAAGCCAAATATCAGCCAGTTTCTATTGAACCGGCCAATACCGGCTGATATTCAGCCCATGTATACAGGGCTTTAGACCCAGTTACTGAAGCCATTGGTCCAAATCAATTTGCCTTCTTCAGTCCTTTATAGGCCTATCAGATACACTCCATTCAGCCTCTTCATGGCAATCAATCCATCCAACTGCTGCTACTACATTCATCTCACTTAACCCCTAAAAGGGAGGTAAATATATGTATGTATATAATTACTAGAGATGAGCGAATCGAACTTGGCGAAGTGGAATTCGTTTCGAAGATTAGGAAAAATTTGATTCGAAAATTAGCAGACTTCGGATGCGCGAATCGAAATTTTCCAAAAATGGCGGCGAAATGTGTGGCGACGGAGCGGGGATCTCTGGGAAGGCGCGCAGACAAGGAGCGCTGACCCATAATGCATTCATTCATGAAATGTGATCGCATTAGCCAATCAGCAGCCAGCCAGCCAGCACTGTGTAATGGTCGAGCTATAAATTGCGGCCATCTTAGAATTCTCCATTAGCCTCCGGTCATTCAACAGAGACAGACCTCTCTGTATTAGGGACAGAGTTAGGGCCAAAGAGACTTTAGGGAGACAGAATCGTTACTTAGGGACACAGAATTGTTACTCAGGGACACAGAACTGTTACTCAGGGACACAGAATTGTTACTCAGGGACAGACACAGAATTGTTACTGAGGGACACAGAATTGTTACTGAGGGACACAGAATTGTTACTGAGGGACACAGAATTGTTACTCAGGGACACAGAATTGTTACTCAGGGACAAAGAACTGTTACTCAGGGACACAGAATTGTTACTCAGGGACACAGAACTGTTACTCAGGGACACAGAATTGTTACTCAGGGACAGACACAGAATTGTTACTGAGGGACACAGAATTGTTACTGAGGGACACAGAACTGTTACTCAGGGACAGACACAGAATTGTTACTGAGGGACACAGAATTGTTACTGAGGGACACAGAATTGTTACTGAGGGACACAGAATTGTTACTCAGGGACACAGAACTGTTACTCAGGGACACAGAATTGTTACTCAGGGACACAGAACTGTTACTCAGGGACACAGAATTGTTACTCAGGGACAGACACAGAATTGTTACTGAGGGACACATAATTGTTACTGAGGGACACAGAATTGTTACTCAGGGACAGACACAGAATTGTTACTGAGGGACACAGAATTGTTACTGAGGGACACAGAATTGTTACTGAGGGACACAGAATTTGTTACTCAGGGACAGACACAGAATTGTTACTGAGGGACACAGAATTGTTACTGAGGGACACAGAATTGTTACTGAGGGACACAGAATTGTTACTCAGGGACACAGAACTGTTTCTCAGGGACACAGAATTGTTACTCAGGGACAGAACAGAATTGTTACTGAGGGACACAGAATTGTTACTGAGGGACACAGAATTGTTACTGAGGGACACAGAATTGTTACTCAGGGACAGACACAGAATTGTTACTGAGGGACACAGAATTGTTACTGAGGGACACAGAATTGTTACTCAGGGACACAGAATTGTTACTCAGGGACACAGAACTGTTACTCAGGGGACACAGAATTGTTACTCAGGGACACAGAACTGTTACTCAGGGACACAGAATTGTTACTCAGGGACAGACACAGAATTGTTACTGAGGGACACAGAATTGTTACTGAGGGACACAGAATTGTTACTGAGGGACACAGAATTGTTACTCAGGGACAGACACAGAATTGTTACTGAGGGACACAGAATTGTTACCGAGGGACACAGAATTGTTACTCAGGTACAGACACAGAATTGTTACTGAGGGACACAGAATTGTTACTCAGGGACAGACACAGAATTGTTACTGAGGGACACAGAATTGTTACTCAGGGACAGACACAGAATTGTTACTGAGGGACACAGAATTGTTACTGAGGGACACAGAATTGTTACTGAGGGACACAGAATTGTTACTCAGGGACACAGAATTGTTACTCAGGGACACAGAACTGTTACTCAGGGACACAGAATTGTTACTCAGGGACACAGAACTGTTACTGAGGGACACAGAATTGTTACTCAGGGACAGACACAGAATTGTTACTGAGGGACACAGAATTGTTACTGAGGGACACAGAATTGTTACTGAGGGACACAGAACTGTTACTCAGGACACAGAATTGTTACTCAGGGACAGACACAGAATTGTTACTGAGGGACACAGAATTGTTACTGAGGGACACAGAATTGTTACTCAGGGACAGACACAGAATTTTTACTGAGGGACACAGAATTGTTACTGAGGGACACAGAATTGTTACTGAGGGACACAGAATTGTTACTGAGGGACACAGAATTGTTACTCAGGGACACAGAATTGTTACTCAGGGACACATAATTGTTACTCAGGGACAGACACAGAATTGTTACTGAGGGACACAGAATTGTTACTCAGGGACACAGAATTGTTACTCAGGGACACAGAATTGTTACTCAAGGACAGACACAGAATTGTTACTGAGGGACACAGAATTGTTACTGAGGGACACAGAATTGTTACTGAGGGACACAGCATTGTTACTCAGGGACACAGAATTGTTACTCAGGGACACAGAACTGTTACTCAGGGACACAGAATTGTTACTCAGGGACAGACACAGAATTGTTACTGAGGGACACAGAATTGTTACTGAGGGACACAGAATTGTTACTGAGGGACACAGAATTGTTACTCAGGGACAGACATAGAATTGTTACTGAGGGACACAGAATTGTTACTGAGGGACACAGAATTGTTACTCAGGGACAGACACAGAATTGTTACTGAGGGACACAGAATTGTTACTGAGGGACACAGAATTGTTACTGAGGGACACAGAATTGTTACTCAGGGACAGACACAGAATTGTTACTGAGGGACACAGAATGTTACTCAGGGACAGACACAGAATTGTTACTGAGGGACACAGAATTGTTACTGAGGGACACAGAATTGTTACTGAGGGACACAGAATTGTTACTCAGGGACAGACACAGAATTGTTACTCAGGGACACAGAATTGTTACTCAGGGACACAGAATCGTTGAATTAAAGAGTATGTCAGACAACACGCAGAGGAGTGGCAGAGGAGGCAATGTTTCAGGAGCGAGCAGACGTGGCAGCAGAGGAAGGGGTCGAGGCAGCACTAGTCGCAGCCAGAGGCCAGTGCTCCCGGTGTCATCCAGCGGTCGTGTCTCCACCGACAACCCTGCCGTCATCGATTGGTTGGCTCGGTCGTCTTCCTCTTCCCAGGTCACCTCTGACACCTACAGCCAACGGTCGGTGGGTACGTCAGACACAACCGTTAGTTGGCATGGCCCGGGGGAGCAAGCCCACTGAAATCACGTGTCCTCTACCTGCCCCTGTCCTTTGGTGTTCCCTCACCAAGCGAAGTATCGCATGCTGTGGGCTCAGCCCCACTGTACAGTGAGGAAGAGCTAACAGAGGGCGGTCAGGAACGGGGGGAGACATCCGCCTCTTCAGCAGCCAGGCGAAGAAGTACTGGCGAGGAGAGTGGCTCGGTAGCCGGTCTAGAGACAGGTCCGTCTCCTGACCCACACGCAGCCGAGGGGGCTAGTAGTGAGGCGGAGACCCTAATTGATGATGATGAGGCTGATCGCACTTGGCAGCCTCATCGTCATCAGGCTATTGCTTCCACATCATCAGGAGAAGAGGGTGCCAGCTTGGCAGCGAGCAAAACAGTCGGTGGGTTGCTCAGGAGGCAGCAGGGTCGCAGCAGTGTCAGAGGAGACAAACGGCCACGGAGTAGAGCACCAGCTCCACTGCAGCCTACCACCACGGCCAGTAGTGGTGCCGGTGTGCACGGAGGAAGTAGCAGTCAGCCAGTGAGGAGTAGCGGGGGCAAAGTTTCCTACTCGGCGGTGTGGCAATTTTTCGTCAAGCCGCCCGAGGAAGTAAACGTAGCCGTATGTCGACTATGTGGCCAGGAAGTCAAGCGTGGCCAGGGGGCCCATGTCTCCATCGCCACACTCTGCCATGTGCCACTTTCAGGTCTCCTCACACTGCTGGTGGGTTCCATTTTGTCATAGGGTGCTGGCAGATTACGGGCCTCCCATTGCTGCTGCCAGGCCCGTAATCTGCCATGTACGGCCTCCCCGCTGTACCGCCTCCTCATGCTGCTCACACTGCAGGTGGGTTCCAGAGTGTCATCATGGGTCCCTGGAATTACGTGCCTCCCATCTGCTGCCCCTGTACCACCTCCTTGCTGCATCGCCACACTCTGCCATGTGCATTGTGCTGTCCTCCTTTCATGTGTCAGGTCTCTCACACTGCTGGTGGGTTCCATTTTGTCATAGGGTGCTGGCAGATTTACGGGCCTCCCATTGCTGCTGCCAGGCCCGTAATCTGCCATGGTCCTCCTCATGCTGCTGCCAGGTCCAGATCTGTCATGGGTCCCTGTACGGCCTCCCATTGCTGCTGTCTCCATCGCCACACTCTGCCATGTGCCACTTTCAGGTCTCCTCACACTGCTGGTGGGTTCCATTTTGTCATAGGGTGCTGCTGCCAGGCCCGTTAATTACATGGGCCCTCGTACCATTGCTGCCAGGTCCAGAGTGTGTCAGGGTCCCTGTACGGCCTCCCATTGCTGCTGTCTCCATCGCCACACTCTGCCATGTGCCACTTTCAGGTCTCCTCACCTGCTGGTGGGTTCCATTTTGTCATAGGGTGCTGGCAGATTACGGGCCTCCCATTGCTGCTCCAGCCCGTAATCTGTCATGGGTACCGCCCCTATGCTGCCTGCCAGGCCTCCACATTGCTGGGCTGTCTCGGCATCATTGCTGCTGTCTCCACTCTGCCATGTGCCACTTTCAGGTCTCCTCACACTGCTGGTGGGTTCCATTTTGTCATAGGGTGCTGGCAGATTACGGGCCTCCCATTGCTGCTGCCAGGCCCGTAATCTGCCATGGGCCCCTTGTACCGCCTCCTCATGCTGCTGTCGGTGGGTCCCAGGTCCAGAGTGCCCGTGCTCATGGGTCCCTGTACGGCCTCCCATTGCTGCTGTCTCCATCGCCACACTCTGCCATGTGCCACTTTCAGGTCTCCTCACACTGCTGGTGGGTTCCATTTTGTCATAGGGTGCTGGCAGATTACGGGCCTCCCATTGCTGCTGCCAGGCCCGTAATCTGTCATGGGCCCCCTGTACCGCCTCCTCATGCTGCTGCCAGGCCCGTAATCTGTCATGGGTCCCTGTACGTCCTCCCATTGCTGCTGTCTATATCGCCACACTCTGCCATGTGCCACTTTCAGGTCTCCTCACACTGCTGGTGGGTTCCATTTTGTCATAGGGTGCTGGCAGATTACGGGCCTCCCATTGCTGCTGCCAGGCCCGTAATCTACCATGGGCCCCTGTACCGCCTCCTCATGCTGCTGCCAGGTCCAGAGTGTGTCATGGGTCCCTGTACGGCCTCCCATTGCTGCTGTCTCCATCGCCACACTCTGCCATGTGCCCACTTTCAGGTCTCCTCACACTGCTGGTGGGTTCCATTTTGTCATAGGGTGCTGGCAGATTACGGGCCTCCCATTGCTGCTGCCAGGCCCGTAATCTGCCATGGTCCCCGTACCGACTCCTCATGCTGTGACGTTGCAACAAGGTGGAATTCAACCCTACATATGTTAACCGCCTTTACGAACAGCGAAAGGCCATCACCGATTTCCTGATGTTACAAGCGGATAAAGGTACTCCCCTGTGTAACTTCGATGTCAGCCATTGGCAGCTCATGCGGTGACACCTGCGCTTGCTCAGGCCCTTTGAGGAGGGCCACGCTATTCGTGAGTCGGCAGGACTATGGGATGAACGACGTCATTCCTCTGTTGCACGTCCTGGACACAAATGCTGTTAACAATGGCTGGTCAGGGTGCGGTAGACGTGGACGCACAGATCTCAACGACCACATGACCCCTGTGGGGGCAGGACAGGAAGAAGAGGAGGAGGTAGAGGAGGACATTGTTGTGCTCAGGAATTATTGAGTGAAATAGGTGGTTTTTCCACTCAGCGGACAGGAGTGGAGGAGCAGGAGCACTCTGGTAGAGGAGGAGGTGGAGACAGAGGTCCCAGACGCACCGTGGCAGTATGCTGTGGAGATGGA